AGTAGCTAGCTCAATCAGCTATAGTAGTCCAAGTCTTCAACTTGGCTAGCTAAAGGCCTCAATAAACTAGTTGTGAGATAAGAGATGCAGATAAGAAGGTTAGACTCGTACCAGTACCCAGCTATATATACACATATCTCATAAAATATTATATAATAATAATTCAAATTACCCCCAAGGCCAAGACTACTTCCCTTCTATGGACTTTTTTGCTTGGCTTAGCTGGTTGATGTACGTATTTTATTTGTTTTACCCTCTTTCAACTTATTCAACATTGTAGTTCATTGCAAGCAAAGTGCAAATCAAATAGTTAAAAACACTAATATTGCAACTATGTGTTCATAATATTAAATTAGGAATTGTAGAACGAAATAGAGATGAAGTTTTGTTACTGCATTCACTCAATTTATTTTAAAAAGCACCAAACTAACATCAACATTGACCCAAAAGCTGGTACAAATTCAGCTATTATATGTGAACTCTGTATGTATTAGAGAGTGTATCAATAAGTCTTTGAGCTTAACGTGCACTAAATAACATTTACCCTTTCAATTTTGCTCCCATTCATGTTATTTTGATTCCCCATTTTATCTTTGGTAAAAACTAAAAGAGAGTTTTTGTTCCGATTTTGTGTATACACGTGTTGACATGTAACGCGTACATACACGTGCGGGCATCCTAATCAGAAAGCTCCACCTCATCAACTTCCATTGCTTGCGTTTGAATCGTGATACACTCCATTAGTCCATTCCCTTACACACCGTTGAACACAAAACGACACCGCCACATTTCTTGAAGTTGAAAATATGGAACCCTAATAATAAAGAATACTATTTGGATATTCATTAGTGAGTGCTTACTTTTCGATTTTGTCTAATGAGATTTTAGCACATATTTTATTGTTTTAAAATATAATGGACATGCTATTAATTTTTCTCAAGCTTTAAAAAAAAAAAAAAACGTGTGACATTTTTTTATTGAGCTAAATCAGAAAACGAGTAAATATTCATTAGTGAGTATCTAAATGTTATACAATAATAAATGCTTTTTGTATTTGTCATCGTAATTTTTACATTTACACTACCACAAGAAACAATACCATCGGTATGATGATTCATTAATAGTCGTATGTATCAAGCAAAAATAATAAACATGGAAAAATAATTTAATATAATATAAATATATAAAACTATGAATTAAAAAAAATACGAGAAACCGGTACAAAAATTTGTTTTGGGGTCATTAGTAACTTCTCATTTTGATATTTTTATTATCACGTAATGTTGCGTGATATCGGAACTATATATGTTGTCTATCACCCTATAAAGATCATCATAATAAAAAATTATCCAAATAAAAAAAAATAAGAAGGTCCAAATCAAAAATGAGAAAGTACATTAAAAAGGTCTAAATGGGGAGGTTTTTAGGATGGTTGCTTCTATTAACACCCCACGATCTTATAAATACACCCCAAGTTCAAAATTATTTTCTAAAATTCCAATTTTAGCCCTTTTATTTGTTGAAGACACCCCACCTTTTTACAATAGTTAACAAATGAAAACCTTCCAACACCCTATTTCAACCACTCACCTGCCGCCACCTTCTTCGTCAGTGTCGTCGACCAATGATAGCCATCTCCTTCCCGCCATTCTCTCTCTGTAGAATTCTCACTTCTGCTAATATTCTGCAAGACATGGAATACCATAAAATTGAAAATTTTAATGCCGAAATTAGCCTAATCAGGGATACCTACATGATGGGCTGGAAAAATCTGGAAAAATGCTACTTGCAAAGAAGCAATCCTTCCGTTGTCAACTAGGAACTGACTTTCTATGAGTTTAATTGTAAGTCGGCGTATGTTCTGGTATACTTGAGATCATTTTGTTAATAGAGGTGCCGCCATGGTAGGTGGCTGTCGAGGAGTAGTATAGTGAAGAAAGTGGTGCTGATTTTGTTTGTTCGTTTGTTTTTTTATCTAATTTAAATAAGGGTTAAAAAGGAAGCCCAAATCAAATAAAAGAAAGTGGAGTGTATTCATAATATTGTGAGGTGCCAATAAAACTATCTTTTCAGGATTCATTTATAGTTTTCGTAACAATGTGATATTAATTTACAAGGGGCGGGAAATTTGAACTGGATTGCAAACAACATCTGTTGCGAATCGAACTCTAGAACTAGTCTAATTCTACCTCGAAAGTGTCATGCATTTTTTGCTGGGAACTACTAGCTTTGAGTGCCGCATGATGGTACTGTACCATCTAATAATTTCTCCATCACTTGGGCTCATGAAATTCCGCTCTTTGATCATCATTATTATCATAGACATGATGAAATCTATGATTTATTGACCAAATCAAGTATTTGTGCAATTGATGAGAAGATTAATTTAATTGCTGCTATGATTGAGAATTTTATTTCAATTCTGTTTAGTTAATCAATTACCAAGTTATGTAATCATCTAAGAGCCCCATATATGGGGCACTATACATGTACTTGTATTTGTCTTTTTTTTTCTTTTTTTTTTTAACAAACGACATTATCTATATTAAGAAGAGAGGTGAGTTTAGCCTCACAATGTACTTGTATTTGTCTTAATTTGAAAGCATCATACATATTTTTCTTCTTTTGGGTCTGATACATACGTATATGTTCGTACACACTTTGGTTTGAAGCAAAATCTTTCATCTCCTTGTCATCAAACCTCTCCCCGTAAAAAGAAAAATATTCAATAAATGAAGGAATGGGTTCGTGTAATATGTAAATCTAATTAGTATTTTGGTCCACTGCTGAAAATAGTGTTGCACCACACTTGGCAAAGAAAGCCAACCAATACCTAATAAAAGAATATCGCGGACTGCTATATACCCATTAAATTTGCAATCAGTTACAGGATGGCATGTGCATGTTACTGCAAGTTAAATGTAAAACAGAAAATGAGACAAATTAATGAATTGGTTGCGACACAAAGGAAAAATACATAGACGCGAAACGTGAAATCTAATAGCATAAGCCAAAATCCATAAGCAATTCGAAATTCTTGAATTTGTTTAATTTTGTATAAAGATGATATATGAATGATGAATTAAACTATATAAACAATTCAAATCCGTGAAAGAAGTTTCGGAATGAAAACCACAAAAAAAGTGAATTAAAATGTGTCTCCCCCGATCCTAGCCCATCTATATATACATATATATAAAATAATATTTGAGTTTTGGGCTGTTTGTAACTTCATCTTTCTAAGAAATAATACAAAAGGTGCTAAATGCTAGAAGCTTAAAAGCAGAGAAGTGCGAATATGGTTTTGGTCAAAAGTGCAAAAGGTTCTGTTCTCACTAGGCATGAATGAACTCGTGTAAGAACCTTGTGAATGCTCATTGTTTGTATTGTTTTTCAATCCAAGCTGCATGCAAGTCAAGTCCTCGCATTTAAGTTGACTGTAATTTCTTATTTGACAGGGACACGATCTTGTCTTCTTCCCAGATACATTCGAATCTTCTATCACCAGCGAAAGTTTTTTATGACTACGTGATTTCCCTGAAATTTCGATTTCACTTGGGCTTGCCACTTGCCAATTAGATTGGCGATTTCCATTTAACCCTGAAAAGCCAATTTGTTCCACTTCTGAATGAGGAATAATAAACATTAGCGGATTAGGTGAGCAAGAGCACTCATTAGGACTCGATCATCGGTTAAAATTGTTTTCTTCTATAATTTATAGGTCATCAAACCTTATTCATTTATTTTGATAGAGATGAGATAACCAGAAATCAGAAAATTAGTTTTTTTTTTGCTCACTAGCTAATCATGATATGCACATGTAAGTTCATAAAAATGTTGGATGATGTACTTGTGGTGTGCAAGGTTTTTTCTTATAAAAAATGGACGGACAATAAAAATTGGTTCTGCCTATCAAAATCGTGACTCTATTATCATGAATCTATTTTTACTTGCCCGCTCAAATGTAGTCACTTCTAGGGGTGAACGCGAGTCTAGCTAGGTCCATTTTTGGTGAAACTGGACCCAACTCGTTTTGTTTTTGGGTAAACGACTTTGAATTGTTCTGGTTCAATGTATTTTAGTATCTCCACTTTTAGTGTTAGTTAATTAGGATAAAATACCACAACTCGAGTTACAGGTGATTAAATTGAGAATAATATCGGTGTTGTACCATTTTGGCTCATCTCTCTAAAACTTTAGCAGTTAGTTGCAAAAACTGAGACAGCTAAAAGGCTTATCTGTGATCGACAGAAGGCATATCATTGACTCATTGGGTCAGTTATAGCTAGAGGTGGCAAATCAACTCATTAGATTGTTAATGGGTACCCGTTAAGACCCATTTAGTTTGATTTTACTTTACACCATCATCATCACTACCAAAACTCGCCTCTATATTATGGTGTATCAAATCAATCGGGTTTTAACGGGTACCCATTAACAACTCAATGAGTTAATTTGTCACCTCTAGTTATAGCCCGTTTACTCACCTCAATTAGTGCAACTAATGTAAGTGAACATTTGTCAGATTGGATAAATCAAAATGTCGTGAAGGAAACTTCTCAGTGCATGTCCTTTATTTTGTCATCAACTCCCAAACGGCATGCAAGTCAATTAAGTCGCGTCCTTTATGATTTTATCTATCCATGCAGATTGCATATTACAAGTTGGCTTTAAGGGTGAAATAGTATATTACCCCTCCACCTAATAACCTCTCGTTACACTGGTCATAAGATTAAGGATGTAGATGGATCAATTTACTGGAAATACAAGTTGTACAACCAATGTGACTGGTCCAAAGCCTGTAAGAAGAGGAGTGATAATAGAAAAATATTTAAAACTTGTTTGAAAGTACTTTTGAAATGACTGAAAACGTTTTTAGAGAAAATATTTTGAATTCCAAAAGCACCTGAAGTGCTTCCTGTAAGATGCATTAGTTATGTGCTTCTCGTAACACTTCAAGTGGATCTTTACAATTTGCTTGCAGTCTTAGTAAGAATTGATTCCAGAAAGGTGCTTCAGATTTGGGAGCCTTCATTTGAAAATTGAAATAATTTCATAGGAACAAGGGAAATATAACCAAAGCATCACACTTCGCAACTACAGAAGTACTGTACAGATCTCTATTTGGAGAATAGCTACCCACTATGGTTACAGAGTCTCAAAACGGTTGTTTTCATCAACTCGTCTTTTCAGCGCCTGATTTGCGACTCGGAATATGTTTGATCAAACACCAAGCAAGGGCCATGCGTCGATCATTTTGCTGTTTTGGAGTGTTTGATAAGCCAATCGATGACAACATCTATATTTATGGAGTCCTTGCAAGAGATCATATAGCAGCACACTTCTTTGTCCGTAATTGAATCAAGGCCTCTGAAAACACCCAATGAAAAGTATCAACATTTCTAGGAGTAGATATCAGATATCAGCTAAAAAGAAAAATGGTGAGTGAAATATAAACTTTTAGAATATTCTGTACTCACAGTTGATCAACCAATGCTTGTTTGGAAAGAGCCTCAGACTTGTCGATTTTGTTGCCAAGAACAAGTAACGGAATCCCATTTAAGGAAGGTTTCATTAAGAGGTCGTGCAGCTCACTTCGAGCTATTGGAATACTGTCTCTGTCAGCAGCATCAACTACGTAGCTGTGACAACATCCATCATGACAGAAGAATTTTAAGGGGAAGCTCGGTTTACAGTCACGTGTGAGAATGAATACCAACATCAAAATGAAATAACTATAAATGTACGGAAAAGGCTAAAACTAATATGACAAGTCTTGAAGTAGCTGGGCTGTCTGATGAACAATACATTGTTATCTCAAAAGAAACATATATTGTTGAAAAAAAACTTAATTAATGTTGCTGAAGACAACAATAATGAGTGATAGATAGCCTACTTTGTATAATACCGGATGTAAGAATAGAAGTGAGAAGTATCTTCGTTTTTCAATGAATGATTGCCAGGTAAATTGTCATGGTTCTTAGAAGAATAAAATGTCATAAAAGCAGAAAGAGTCCGATTTCGATTCAGGATTAAGTTTCAGGAACAAAATATAATGTTCCTGCACAGTGGCAGGCATTTGCTGGTTCCTGAAAAGCCGGAAACATCTGAAAAGCAATTGATGGCAAAAAAAGAGATGTGATATTAAAACGAGAGAAACCAAGAGATAGTAAAAGACTGAAAGACTTACACAATTACAGAGACGCCACGACAGTAACGCTCCCACATTGTGCGGAACCTTCTTTGACCTCCAAGGTCCCAAACCTTGATTGTCACATTTCCCTTGGTTACTTTTCGCATGTTGAATCCAACCTAGTTTTCATAGAATGAATATTCCTTATAAGTACTAGAAGTAAGTACCTTTCATGTTATACACTTATTAGTTATTTGATCATATAAAATGTCAGCATAATTCCATAGTTTGTTAAAGAGATATGCTTACAGTTGGAATCATGTCCTCACTGTAGCCCCCTGTCTGGTAAAGAAAACATAGAACGATTAATGTGAAGGAAAAGAAAGTATACATGCTATAAAGGACGTGGAACACTTGCGTTCACTCACAGCAATGGCATTTAAAAGAGATGTCTTTCCTGCATTCTGAAGCCCTACTAGTGAAAGTTCCATTTCCTGTTTAAAAAATAAGCTGACATGTACGCACACGGTTGGATGACACAAAGTTAGCAAACTGATAACGGATAAATCCAGGAACCTTTCAATTTGAAACAGTCTCATAATAACAGAACGGAGAACCCCAATAAGACTCACTGCAAACAATTTAAGAAAATGTGAAAGTATAGAAGCCAACAGTTCTCACACGTTACAGCTATTAAATGTTCAATCATGCAAGTATTCTAAGTAGGTTACAGAAAAATTACATGCTTCAACCAAAGAATCGCAATGTGCAAATGGATTAAAAAACTGAATGTGCATGCATACACAAGACCGATAAGCAGTATTTTCAGCAACTTTGGTCAAACAATCAAGCGATAGCTAATACTGACAATAACAGAACTACACTCAAGTCTGTGTAAAGCTTGGATACCCTTGAATAAGGCATGAAAGGTAGAATATCCAGCTTCTACTAGCATGAATGCATCCATATCATATCCAATAGTATTACTACACATTTAACATTTTTCCTGCAAGGAAGTTCAGTTGTAAAACAAGTCTATGACTCCAAGGTAGAGACCATTGTATCCTTGTATACTATGTATTTGTAATATCGATGATGTTCAGCTAAGAAAAGAGGTTAAGTCTCTGTGTCGCTAGAGACTGTACAGAAATGATAGACATGTTCAGACAAGCAGTTGGGATGGTTTAGAAGGAACTAAAGACTTAAGAGACAAAGATAGTTTAGACATATGGGTCAAGAGGTTCGAGCCAAAGAGATGGAACTTAGTCCAGTCTGCTTCAAAGTCATCTAGGAATTCTAGGGACTTCCCATTTGGTTTACTATTCATACTTCGCTCATGTTTGAAGGACGACTTATTTCACTAAACACTACTTGACAACAGCTACTACCTATTCCTAGAATAGAAGTATACAAACTCGAGTGCCGATATCAAGAAACAACATTAGAGAGAAAGATCAGTCCAAATTGCTCCATATCTTGACAAAACAAGCCGGGAATTATTAGCTAAGATTTTCAGTATCCATTCAAATAGTTTAGAAAATGAAACCAAAAACAAAGTTTTCATACTAATCTGGATCAGATGAGCATTCTTTTATTTGTATCAGGATTCTGATACAACAACAACAACAACAAAGCATTTTCCCACTAAGTGGGGTCGGCTATATGAATCCTAGAACGCCATTGCGCTCGGTTTTGTGTCATGTCCTCCGTTAGATCCAAGTACTCTTAAGTCTTTTCTTAGGGTCTCTTCCAAAGTTTTCCTAGGTCTTTCTCTACCCCTTCGGCCCCAAACCTCTGTTCCGTAGTCACATCTTCGAACCGGAGCGTCAGTAGGCCTTCTTTGCACATGTCCAAACCACCGTAACCGATTTTCTCTCATCTTTCCTTCAACTTCGGCTACTCCTACTTTACCTTGGATATCCTCATTCACAATCTTATCATTTCTCGTGTGCCCACACATCCCACGAAGCATCCTTATCTCCGCTACACCCATTTTGTGTACGTGTTGATGCTTCACCGCCCAACATTCTGTGCCATACAACATCGCTGGCCTTATTGCCGTCCTATAAAATTTTCCCTTGAGCTTCAGTGACCTACGACGGTCACACAACACGCCGGATGCACTCTTACACTTCATCCATCCAGCTTGTATTCTATGGTTGAAATCTCCATCTAATTCTCCGTTCTCTTACAAGATAGATCCTAGGTAGCGAAAACGGTCGCTTTTTGTGATCTTCGCTAGATTGCTCCGGTCATTAGTGTGGATAAGTATATAAATGGATAGAGATAGGAAAGCAAACACCAGATGTACGTGGTTCACCCATATTGACTACGTCCACGAAATAGAGGAGTTCTCATTAATTGTGAAGGGTTTACACAAGTACATAGGTTCAAGCTCTCTTTTAGTGAGTACAGTGAATGATTTAATACAAATGACATTAGGAAATTGTGGGAGAATGATCTCGTAATCACGAAACTTCTAAGTTCCGGAGTGTGGTATCGTCTTGACTTGCCTTATCTATCTCGTAGGTAGATGTGGCATCTTCTCTGGAAGTACTCTTCCTCCATCCAGGGGTGGTATCTTTAACTGGTGGAGATGCACAAGGTAATGTATCAATTTCACTTGAAGCTTACTTGTAGTTTCAGCCTTGGTCAAGCGCGATACAAACCATGTAGTATGAGTCCTCCAAGTCGCCGAGCTAGGGGATCTGCTGAAAGAGGTGACAGACAAGGTAAGCAATCAGAGCTCCAAGCAATCAGTCCCAGATCAGAACTTTGATTTCGAGTTCCGGCTGATTGTTCACATTCTCCCTATCTTGCAGGCAGCATGAAGGATAAAGAGAAGAAAAATGAGAAGATATGATATGGGATACTTTTGCTTTTGAAGAAGTAACTTTCCACAGGCTTATTCTTGAACTGGGCTGGAGGGTTTTCTGGTTTCCTCCAGAGTATAAGGCCGACTGAAGAATTTGAGGGTCAAAACAAGTCCATCAAATCTATAGTACGTTCGACCCTGCTGATATGGGATACTTTTGCTTTTGACAGAGTAGTGGATGTATCGGCACGTGTGCTGTTACGCTTGTCTCCACATGCTTCCTTGTATCCTTCTCATTTGCCCTATATGTTCCTCAGGCAGATGCGGTATCTTCCCTGGAAGCATAAGATGTTGAAGATGAGTACTCGAGAGCAATGTCAGGTAAGTAATCAAGTAAGGGGTTCCAGGCAGTCAGTTCCTGACTGGAAGTTTGATTCCAAGTGTTGACTGATTGCTCTCTTTCTCCTTGTCTTGCAGGTAAGAACAAGGCCACAGGAAAAGACAGGGAAAAAACATGATATGGGATACTCTTGCTTTTAACCCTGATGATATGAGATATTCTTGCTCTAGTATAGCTTGTTTGCAGAGGTATTATCGGGGGGAAAGAAAGCTGAATATTTCGAAAGGCTTCTTTGGGAGTGCCCTCTCAGATATGGAAGGGTTGAGCATTTTTGCAGGTCTGCCTGTCTGTTGGGGATGGAGGTCAACATATATAGGAATCTCCCTAACAACAAGTAGTAATGCTATTCCTTTACCCTGCTTGGTCATGACACGGTAGTGGGAGCTGCCAGCTTCACATGTTTTAACTCTGTCATAGCACTTTGAAAAAGTGGTCTGTGGTATCTGGAAAGCTAATGTTGCGTGTAAAGATTACAGACAAGCTTTATCCAAGGAGATCCGGCTCTTGAAGTTGGGAAAGTGGTGCCTCTTCGGTTTTCGAACAAGCAATCCTGTCGGGGATCTGGCTCTCGAGATTCGGAGAACGATGCCTTTTCGATTTTTGAGAAAGCAATCCTGCTAGGGGTCTGGCTCTCGAGATTCAAAGAGCAGTGTCTCTTTGATTTTTGAGAAAGTAATCATGTTGGGAGTCTGGCTCTCGAGATTCGGAGGGCGGTGCCTCTTCGATTTTGGAGCAAGCAATCTTGTTGGGAGTGTTTTCTCAAATGTGAGAAAAGGTTGGGCATGTTTGCTAGTCTATCTTGCCACGAAGCACAGAGGTTGACACACAGGGACTTTCCAATTATCCAGCAGTGGTACTGTTCCTTTACCCTTGTGGGTAATAATATGGTAGCTAGACCTTCAAAATTTATGTGTCTAAACTTTGTTAGTGTTGTTTCTTTGCTATTCTTTTACCCTTCTTGGTCAGAGCGGTGTAGTGGGAGCTGCAAGTTTCACATGTCTCAACTTTGTCAGAGAACTTTGGCAAAGTTATCTATGGTACCCATGAGCTAATGTTGCGTGTGGGAAGTGGGTGATTGAACAGTAAGATTCATGTGCTTTCTACTTCACCAGAAATCTTCGACATAATGCCCATAATTTCCGCAAAGCTGACAGGTGCTGACAAGGCTGGAAAAGTAGGTGCCTCTTCGATTTCTGAGATCGGCCCTCGTGGTCTCTGAGCAGCCCAGCTTTTGAGAAAGCAAGCGCCTCTTCGATTTCTGAGATCGGCCTTCGTAGTCTTTGAGCAGCCCAACTTTTGAGAAAGCAAACGTCTCGTGGTCTCTGAGCAGCCCAGCTTTTGAGAAAGCAAACGCCTCTTCGATTTCTGAAGCTCCGTCGAGTGCAAATTTTTATAGAGACTGGCATTAAGTTCCAAAGCACTTGAATTTCCACCAGTAGAAGCTCCATTCTTGCACTTCTAAGATCTTGATTTGTCCGACCTCTTCTCTCTTCAACACCTTTGAAAATGTCTGGCCCCTCCGACCGTCGTTTTGACTTGAACTTTGTTGAAGAGGCAGCCACGCCTTCTCCAAACAACATATGGCGCCCATCCTTCATCTCCCCTACTGGTCCTCTTACTGTTGGGGATTCCGTGATGAAGAATGATATGACCGCTGCGGTAGTGGCCAGGAACCTTCTCACTCCCAAAGATAACAGACTACTTTCCAAACGGTCTGATGAGTTGGCTGTTAAGGATTCTCTGGCTCTCAGTGTTCAGTGTGCAGGTTCCGTGTCTAACATGGCCCAAAGCCTATTTGCTTGAACCCGCCAAGTTGAATCATTGGCGGCTGAAGTGATGAGTCTCAAACAGGAGATTAGAGGGCTCAAGCATGAGAATAAACAGTTGCACTGGCTCGCACATGACTATGCTACAAACATGAAGAGGAAGCTTGACCAGATGAAGGAATCTGATGGTCAGGTTTTACTTGATCATCAGAGATTTGTGGGTTTGTTCCAAAGGCATTTATTGCCTTCGTCTTCTGGGGCCATACCGCGTAATGAAGCTCCAAATGATCAACCTCTGCTGCCTCCTCCTTCTAGGGTTCTGTCCAGTACTGAGGCTCCAAATGATCCCCCTCCCATGCATGCTTTCTGGGGCTCTACCGACTGCTGAGACTTCTCCTAAGAAACCTTTGTGAAGGCTCCCTCTTGTTTGTTTATTTTGACTCATGTATATGTACATATTTGTGACTTATCGGGGATATCAATAAATAGCTTTCCTTCATTTCAACGTATTGTGTTAAATACACCAAAG